TGGGGAATTCTGGGAGTTGAAGTCCACACCTCTTCAAGTGCCCAAGGTTGAGAAACACTGCATTACAGTAATGGGTTGTGCAAATACATAACATACAGATCTCTGCACCATAATTCATGATTTGCAAACTTACCAAAACAGAATTGATCAGGCTTCTGTCTTCAGGCATATCAACAAACTATTAGTAATCAGTCCATAGGCAGGAATAATGTAACATTCTGCAGAGGTGTTAATAAACGTAAACCAAAGTTTGTTGCTTGATGTATGGGTTCATATGTTCAAATAAACTACAACTAACCTATACAAATTATGCTTTAGCATCACATGTGATCTCTGCCATTGAGCATTGAGCAGTTAGAGCGAACCTGATACACTAAGCCCAAATCGATCCAGATGATCGCTTAGTGTAATGTGTGAACCCAGCCACCTCTCCCACTAAAGATGTGATTTCAAGGTTCAGCGCTTGATAGATAGATGCACATCAATCCTTTAAAGATGTTCTCCCCAGGCAAAATAAGAAGAGCCGCCTTCTCCTAAAGACAGAACTAAAACTAAAGTTGCTGTTGGGAGTGAAAATAAGGTTGCCAGAGGAAATGAACAGGGAAAAACCAAGTCTGAAAAGTCTTCTGTGGGCTGGGAAAGGACTTGGCTAAAGCACGAAACCAAAACAGAATTGATCAGGCTTCTGTCTTCAGGCATATCAACCAACCATTAGTAATCAATCCATAGGCAGGAATAACGTAACATTCTGCAGAAGTGTTAATAAATGTAAACCAAGTTTGTTGCTTGATGTATGGGTCTATATGTTCAAATAAACTACAACTAACCTATACAAATTATGCTTTAGCGTCACATGTGATCTCTGCCATCATACCTGAAGCCACTCGTGTTTATAGTAACTGTGGATGTGTTTCATGTGTACACGTTTGATCTAGATAGTTCCAAGCAACCAGGTTAGGTTAGGGACAGGTTGTCATGGAGGAAATCTATCTATGTGGTCGCTAAGAGTCAACAACGACTTAATGGTAAAATAATCAATCAGTACCAAGTAAAAGCCAAGAATTTTTGATTTTTTGAACATTGCTGTCATACAGTTATCTTTATATTCTATTAGAATCATTATTATTTATAGCTTACAATGATTTAGAATGCCATTGTCTCATAATTGTCCCTAATTTGGGTCTTGTAATTAATCAAATCTTTGTTACAATTAGGCATATTTCAAGGAACAATTTCACATTTAGTATTCTTAAATGAGGAACCACTCCTAACCTTAAGAATCAGTTGACAGCTTTTATAAGGCCACTAATGAATCAAAATATATATTCATATCCCAACTTAACCATCCAAAGGATATATTTCTTTTTTTCTCTCTCTCCCTCCCTCACATATGTACACACAAATACTCTTGTATGTGCACGCACTTCCTCTTACACACCCCTTCAGGCACTTCCACCGTCATGGTGGGGCTTCCCAACAGCATCAAAAGTCTTCACTCTTCGAGGTGGTTTCTGCTGACTGCAGTCTGATTAGTTTTCAGCTAAGAGCAAAGTGTCTGCTTGGTTCAGTCCCTACTCCAGCTGCACCTCAGAAGCAGAGGGGAAAAAGTCTTTTTTCTCTAAGCCACAGATTCTCCACACCAAAGCCTCCCCACGCAGAACGCTGGCAGCTCCGGTCTGGCCACCCATCACTTCTAGGGCTCTTGCTGGTACTGTCTTTCCGTGCCAGTGAAGAAATCCTCCAAGATGCTCTGATTGTACTCGAACGTCGGGCGATCCTCCGGCTTCTCCTTCCAGCACCGCATCATGATTTCGTAGAGCTCCTGCGGGCAGCCTTCTGGGCATGGCATCCGATAGCCACGCTCAAGGGCACGCATCACTTCCAAATTCGACCTCCCTGGGTTAAGACAAAGAGGGAGACGGGCTGAACATCCTACCAAGAAACCCAGCGAAGCAGCCTATCAGAGATAGCGCTCTTCAAAAGGAGAAAAGAAAACTTGGAAGGGAATTCTTGCATGTAATGATGCCCCTCTTGTATGGACTTGCCAGGGGCCCAAAAGTGGGTGGAATCATTGGCCCGGCCAGCCTGGTATGAACTTCTCTTCCTGAAAACTGTTTTCTCCAAATCTTCCATCAGAGATCCACGTGATTCCTACAAAGGGATCTGAGATCCTGCAAAGGCTATGCCCCTAAGCCCTCCCTTGCCGTGAGCGCTGGAAGCTGCCATAATCCAGGGCTGCGTAACGTTTTGGGCCCTCCTCAGAGGACCAGGATGAAAAATTAAACTCCATTTTTAATTTCAATGCAACTTAACTATGGTTCCAAAACAGGGCATGGAATAGGATTACAACCCTAAAATCAAAACATTAAAACCTGGGAAACCTAGAACTGCAATGAGGGACACCACAGCACAGGCTTAATTAAAAACTTGGATGAAAAATTATTATTATTATTATTATTATTATTATTATTATTATTATTATTAATTAAATGTATATGCTGCCGGCTCCCAGTGATGCGTCATCACCCAGCACCAAAAACTTACTTGGCACCTACATATTTAATAGTTACTTTTTTCCCATACAGCATTTACACAACACACCAAACCAGATGAAAATGGGGCAGGGTGGTTTGCAGGTCAGGTGCCTGGAGAGCCTAGCCAGTGGCTTAACATGAGGTATGAACCAGGCCATCACATTCCACCATGAAATAGTTTATCCATTCCAGCACTGCAGATTATGTGAATGCAGCCACTGTGTTCTGCTCACCTGGGTGTAAAGTGTTGTGTGATCCCAACTCTAATCCATCTTGTTACCTTAAAAGTTTGTAACAACTTTTGGAGGGGCTTTTCAGCCTGCACACAAGGATCACAGGTGTCCACTCTTAACCACACTGACAGCAAAATGATGAAATGTGTGTTGCAGCATCACAACTCAAAAGCCACCCCTTTGTCCTTGTGTCGCAACACACATTTTGTCACTTGCTTCCCCTCCAAGTGACAAAACATGCATTGTTTTGTCAAGGATATTTATTTGAACCTTCTTGCCACAGACCAGATCAAGCCATTGCCCACCCCTACAGACCAACCCTGAAAAGTCCACCATCCCCAATGAACCCAGATATGTCCTCCTCTTTGCTAAAGGTTGAACACAAAATTCCCTTGCCTGTCATTTAGCACTAAGCTACAGTTCTTCCAAACAGAAGGACAGGTTTGTGTTAAGGACCAAGAGAGGCTGGAGAGAGGCCACTGAAGGTTCCATCTGGTTCTCTTTCCCATCTTCTTTATCTGCCCTCTACAAGAACCCTTCATTTTAGGGATCCCATTGCTTAATGCACCTCGCTGTTTGCCATGAATGGCCAAAGGGCTCTTTTATCACCCACAGCAAAGAGTTGGTAGTGAGTTGGCTGAGGGAAGTCACTTCAGTTACAGCCCACCTGCCCCTTCCTTCCATTTTCCAAACATCTCCAAATGTGACCTGCTACAGTAAAGTGGCTACATACAAGCAAATATGAAACCCATAAAGTGGTGGTTGAAGTATTGTTTGCTTGGTTAAACAGAAGAAGAGAGCCCATCCCAACAGTTTCCTGGGGGGAGGGGAGGAACTTTTCTTGCTGCACACCTGGATATGGTGTCCGCCCGTAGGTGATGATCTCCATCAGCAGGATCCCAAAGGACCAGACATCAGACTTTATTGTGAAGGACCCGTAGTTGATGGCTTCAGGAGCAGTCCACTTGATGGGAAACTTGGCACCTGCCAAAAGTCCAAAACAAGGTAGTTAGATTCAACCTGAAAACAGCAGTTGGCACAGCTAATTTTACCTTAACAAAAAATAAAATGGGGAAAAATACAAGTGATCTACATGCTATTAACTAGTTGCCTCCCCAGATGTGTGAATGCTGTATACAGGGCTGTATTAACCTTCTAATCCTGCACGGCCTCCTTCTCCTTGCCATGTTGGAGGGCAGGGGGACAGGGAGGAAGATGAATGGTAAAATCTTAAAAAATAAAATGCATGCATGAAAGAGTAAGTTTCCTTTCTCTGCAAAAGTCTTTGCTCTCCTCATATTTAATTGGGGGGCAGTGCTTTGATTGCATCATGGTAGCTGCCATCTTAACTTTTTTTACCACACTCTGTGGACCCCTCTGGTCCAAACAGTCATTTCCTGGAAATGTTGGGACACCCAGTCCCATCAGCCACGGACCCTGAGACCATCTTAAGGGTCTCTGGTTGGAGAGGATTGGTGTGAAGTCTAATCTACATTGTCCACAAACACAGAGGATGCACACGAGGCGTGTTTTGGCTTTGTACCTTCCCGAGCGGTATATTCATTGTCCTCTATCACTCTGGCCAAGCCAAAATCCGCAATCTTGCACACCAGGATGGCTGATACCAAGATGTTGGCAGCTCTCAGGTCACGATGGATGTAGTTCCTCTGCTCAATGAACGCCATGCCTTCGGCCACCTGCAACAGCAAGAGACAGCTCCGTTAAAGGAGGAGGACAGACCTGGAAGAGCCACATCTTTAGTACTGATTTTACAATATTTGTGGATAGTCCCAATCAAAAAGATTCAGGGTGGTGCATAACAAGGAAGACGACAGCATAATAGCCGTGAATAACACAATTAACCGTAATAATAATCAATGGTCCTACACTTAGTCATCCACAAGGACAAAGACTTGCTGAACTAAAACAATTTGCAGAGTGTCCATGGAAAAGCCATGTGAGGAGGGGGCTGGGAAGCCCAGTCCAATGGCCTGTTCAGAGAATCACTGTGGGCCACTGGGCACATCTGCAAATGCAGACCTGGGATCAGGGCTGGGCTCCACAGCCACCCAAGAGAAGCTACAATTAATCCATTTGCATCATGTTCTCCATAAATGACACCATCTGCACTGTAATGTCATCACACACACAGTGACACATGCACCATAGCATCACAAGGCAAACTGACATCATGTGCACATCACATTACGTTCACCATGACATCAACACACCAGTGAGGTCCTCTACACCATGATGCACCCACCCTATGATAACTCATGCACCTTGACCTTGCCATGCAAATGGCACTGTATTGTGTGCGCCATGATGTCACCAAGCAAGTGGCAGTAATTACACAATTTACATCATTTATTGAGGATGTCACGGGTCATGTCACTTGCTCCTCCTTGCCCCCCCCCCACAGATGCCCTTTTGAAAGGAGGGTGAGAATTTTGTAAGAAAGGGATGTTGGTTCTACCCTGCACCTTTTCCAGGTGTTCTGCCTCCTGTAGAGAGAAAGGAGCTATTCCTTCAGCAACGAAGGCTCTTGCGCAAATCATCTTCCTTGGCTGGCTTTCCCCAAGCACTGCTCCCCTGTCTCATTAAGCTGAAGGGTTCCTATTTAACATCCCTTCCACAGCCCTGTTCCCCTTGACTTGGCATCCACAAGGCCTTGGGTCCCTTCAGAACCTACCAGACCCTGGGGTTGTCTACAAATACTTAGAACCCCAGACAGCTTGTGGCCTGCCCAGATCAGCTGGTCTCATTGAACCACACAAAACCATGTAGGATGCCTGACACCCAAGGCTGCACACCATGCACTTTGGGCCACAGCCTCAAGAGAAATACTGTGCATGCTTGGGGTCCCAGGTATGACTTGGAAAGAATTGGTCTGAAAAACCAAAGAACCACTGGTGATCTGGAGAAACCATGGATGGAAACTATAACTCCCAGCACCCCTCATCAATGAACATGGTGGTTGGGGTTTCTGGGAATGTAGTTCAGCACAGGTTCTCCCTCTTGGATGAGGCAACACTGAACTGGGTGGACCAACTTCTGGTGGGCTCCTCTCTTAGCAGTTCTTCGGGCTTCTGTGCATGAAAAATTTTTGTAGACCAGGCAAGGCACTGAGTGGACTTTTTTCCCATTGGGACAGTGGATTACTGTGGATCACTCTGAAGCCTTTGCTCCCATTCATTAAAAAATCTGTGCAATCCCAAAGTGGAATGGAAAGTCAAACAGGCAACACTTTAAAATAGCACCAAGCTTGAAAAGACAGGGTAAAAACACTGAAACTCACAAAGAAGCTCAACTCCCTCAAAATATAATTTTAAATGTTAGGGGAAATAAAATGGCTTCCATCCGATACTGGAAGGACCTTTCAAAGCTGGGGATCAACACAGAGAAGGAGGTGTCTAAGGCCATCCTCCTAAATAGATGGAACCCCGTCCTCTTAATATATCTGCTTGTATCCTACAAAGTTAAAGACTCTCTCAAGTAGAACTCAGCTTCTGGTGATTGCACAGACACATCCAGTTTGCTTGTTGAGTGGCCTGCCACAGTCTTCTTCTGCGACAGTGTTGTCCAAACTTGGCCACTTTAAGATGAGTGGACTTCAACTCCCAGAATTCCCCAGCCAGCATGGCTGGCTAGGGAATTCTTGGAGTTGAAGTCCACTCATCTTAAAGTGGCCAAGTTTGGACAACACTGTTTTAAGATATTATTTCAATTTCTTCGTCTGGC